AGCCTGACAAGACCCCACCCACAGACTCCTCTGCTGAGATCAGGGTGTCCTGACAAAGGTGCTGTCTGCGCCGGGAGTGGGATGTGCCGACACCAGACCCTGCCTGCACAGTGGCCCAGGATGTCCAAAGCACTGCCACCAGCCCACTCTGGGGGCCGAAACTGTGCTCCCAGTGCCAGGAGCTGATGGTCACGGACACGGTTTCAGAGTCCACGCTGCAAGCCGGTGTGGAGTGGGGCTGCCACGACCTGCAGAGAAGCAGCTACAACGCCCCTTCCCAGCACACATCTGTGCGTGAGGCCAGCGTGGCTCTGCCACTTCAACTAAGCCATGGCGGCAGGGGACCAGACCCCACGTCATCTGTGAAGCTAAACTTGCCACTCTTCTCACAAAGTGTTTTTTGTTTGGAAAATATTTTTTCATAAAAACGTTATTTATGTTAACCTGTAACGGCTTTCTTATTATTTTTAAAAGAATAAATATTTAAAAATTTAAGGTAACTATTGATATGACCCACAAAAATGAAACCTCTTTGGGGCCCTTGATACTTTTAAGAGCATAAAGGGCTGCTGAGCCCAAATAGGCCCAAGCCACAACTCCCATGACTGTCCCCAAGACGTTAAATGTCAGCTGTGTGATGGTTGGACATTAATTACTAAGGTTTTTGTCCTTAAAAAATGGAAAGGTTCAGTCACCTCACGACTTAAAGCTGTTCACAGACACTTTGCTATTATTTAAAGTGAGCCTCGATGAGACAAGGGAAACAGGCATCATTTTCAACCTGTGAAGAGTTCACACGGTGAGATGAGCCACGAGCGGGGCCCAAGGACACCTGGGCAGAGGACACACAGCACGTGCAGATGCAGGAGCCGCTCGGCCTCGGCCACTACAGAAGCCGGTGTATGGCGCAGAGAGGCCGTGTCTCCACGGCCGGCGTGACCTGCTGGGAATGTTGAGTTCTCTGGCTTCGGTCATGTGAGGCTTCAGAGGGGGTCCTGGGGAGACGGTGGGGTTTGGGCGTGAAGGCTCAGGCACCCAGAGGAAACGGTGACATTCTGCAGGGGGCGACAGGCCACGAGGGGCAGGCAACAGGCACGTGGGGACCTGGACGCTGGTTCTGAAACACACCTCCTCGCTGCACCTTTGCTGCCCGGGGGGACGCTGGGAGCAGCTGCTGCCCCACGATGGTGCCAAGGCAGCGCTACAGCCCGATCTGCACTCCACCTCTGCACTGTAACGCTGACGGCAGCTCTCAACATAACAGTCAGAAACTCACTTCTAGCTGGGGGCATAGAAAGACAGAGGCTTCCGTGGTCACCTTCGGGGTGTTCTGAATCGCTCCCCCTTGTGGCTGCTATCCTAGGGGAACAGCCCACATCTGCGTTGACAAGCGGGAGCTGTTGAGGCTGCTGTCGAGGGCTGGTGTACAGGACCATCTGTCCCTGACCCAAGGGCCCTGGGCCTGGGGAGTGGGGCACTAGGACAAGGTGACGGGCTTATGCCCACCTCGTGCACTTCAGAGGCTAGATGCCATGCGCCTGCCTTACCCACAGCTGCTAGTTTCCACAGAGAAGCCACATGGGCAGGGCCCATGCCCCCACCAAGCCCTCTGTCCACCGATGCTGCTGAGCAGCACTTAGAGCTTTAACACACTTACAAGGGTGTGCAAATGCCAGATAGCACCAGTGGCCCCCACTCAGCCTGAGCCCCAGGTGCTGTCCCTGGCCTGGTGGGGTTGGCAGGTGCCCTCTCAGAGTGCAGGGGTGGGGTCTGGAGGGTCTTTGTGGTGGAGGCAGCAGCAGCCAGGGGTCTGTCCAGCCACCCTCCCATCCGCTCCGCTCCCCTCCCAACTGCCCTGGAAACAGGTCACTTTTGTGGCTGTCCCTAGGGAGGACTACAAACAACTGCCTGGAGTTGAGAACAAGAATTGAAGGTTCCGTGAATGTTGGAAATATCAGCATCTTTTCCAGCAAAACGACAAGTGGATGAAGTCACACCCATCAGGAGTGAGGTTCTCTGAGTCCACGGAGAACAGAGACAAAGAGCTGTGCTGAGGAAAACCCCGACCACTCCCATCCCGAGGCCTGTCAGCGAAAGCAGTGTCTCCAGGGGCTGCCACTGCGGAGATGTGGTGGATACGGACCCCCGGGACTCTGCCCTGGAGTGCACACTGCCCACTCGAGCCACTCCATGGGGACGTGCGCTCGCCCCCACCATGGGGCCTGCAGAGGCACAAGCAGCCGCTGCTTGGGCACTTTGCACTTCTCCCTCATGATCAAAAATACAGACAGATTCTGAAAACCAGGAGCAAAAGAAGAGAGGCCCAAGGCGTCCCTGCACCCTGCCTGCCCCGCAAGACCTGCTGGAAGGAGCAAACAGGCTGGCATGGTGCCCTGCCTGTGCCACACTGAGGCACACATGGGCTGCGGGCCCGGCCTTGGACATGTCTTCTGGAAAGCCCCAGAGTGGCCAGAGTGTGAGGGAGGACCACCCCTGAGACAGGGACACTCTGTCCAGACCTCTTGGCTGGGAGGGAAACAGCCCGGGTAGTGGAGGTCCGTTTTCACAGAACGAAAACATGCCTGGTGAGTCCCAGTCTCAGGGCTGAGGAAGCAGCCAGTGTAGAGGGCACTGCCCTGAGGATGCCCTGGCAGCTAGCACCAGATCCCCTCCAGGCACTCACACTGAGCAGTCATCCAGGACAGGGGCACCACTCCAGCAGAGGGACCTCCCCAGCCAGCGCAGGGCTGTGTCCTCCAGACTACACAGAGGCCGGCCCCCAGTGCACGTGGAACATGGAGTCACACTCTGACGTGTGGACAGGTGCCCAGGAAACAGCCTTGTTCTGAGTGGGGGCTGCCAGCTACTCCCTGGCTAGGCCAGGAGGCCTCACACTTGGTTTCTGGGGGCACGTGTAAGAACAAAGCCCAGGCAGAGGCTCTGCCACCTCGACCTCTTCTAAAGGGGACACTGTCTTCTGCAGCAAACTTCAGCCCAGAACCCTTGTGCAAAGCTTATCTTCTGAAAGAGAGCTGTAGGGCACCTGACCACAAGGTGGGGGGCCAGCCCTGGAGATGAAGGCCGCTTGACCACTGGGGCATGATGGTTCTCTGGGGTGCACCAGGGCAGCCCACACATCCAACAGTCAGACCTCAGACCCACGCAGCACAGGCCCTGAGGTTGTCCTGGGGCTTTCTGCACCAGCCCGTGGCGTGCAGCGATGGAGTGCCAGCCAGCCTCCCCACAGGCAGATGGCACACTCTGGGTGAGGGGTCACCGGCAGCAGCACAGGACAGGAAGGAGTTCATAGAGGCCAGAGTGCCTCGAGTCACTGCCGCCTTCCAGGCAGCTCCTCCTGACTCATTTGAAAACCTCCCCTGCACACCAAAGTGCTCTGTCACTTTCTAGTCTCAGCCCATGGTGCCACCTCTCAGCACACAGAGCAGGGCTGCAGGAAAGCCCATGTCACCAAGCTCTCTCAGGCAGCGTCTGCACCCTGCTCAGTGGGAGGGGCAAATTCCGCCTGCAGGTTGAAGTCCCCAACCACTTCCAACAGTGAGAGAGAGCTCTATGCTGGCAGCTGTGTAAAGTGCACAAAAGTGCTCCCCCACGGATGCACGTGCATATGTGTGCACACACCTACTCATGTGTGTGCATACCCTCATATACATACACACATACACCTTGTGCACACATGTACCCACACCTGTGTGATGCCACCTGCATACTCATGCACACATCCATGCAGTGCTTACACACCACAGTGCACATACCCATGCACATGTGCACACATGTTTACATGTGTACACATAACCATGCATGTTTGCACCAGTTCTGCATACATAACATGTACACCCACATGACATATGCACACACACAAATGCATATGTGGACACACTGCAAACATGCATGTACACCCATGTACTACATGTGTGTGCACAAGTAGCCCATAATCCACTCACATCCTGCACACACTCAAACCCATTCAATGCACACATGGACACACATGCACACAAGTGAGCACACCCATTCACATGCCCATGCACATGCAGAATGCACACACCCACACAGATGTGCACACATCCTGCATGCACATGTATGCACCAGATCATCTATTTTGGTGCAGTCAGAGCACATATCTGGGCAAATCACACAACCACCATTTCTAGTGCCATTGCTCTTCCCCAGCCTACACTTCTGCCTGTGCCATTTCCGGTTTGGAATGGCTCTCCAAACCCCAAGGGGAGCCCATTGGGAGGCTGGGAGCTCTACTTGATGGCCCCACGAACTCAGTTTTTAAAATACAGTAGAACCAAATGGAGGAGGGGCACTGGGTGTGTCCTGCACAGTGGGAGAGCAATAACCCCGGAAGCCTGGGGTTGAGACTCTCACCACAGGTGGAGAAAAGATGAGGACAGAATTATCACTCTCAGCTGGTTGCTCTCTTCTGACCACAGAAAGGGCAGGAGGAGGGGCAGTTTGCACAGGGAGCACACAGATGCACAACATGCAAAACACACAACACACACAAGTCCACACACGCACACACACACACACATGTCCACATACGCAGACACACAACACACACAGACACAACACACACATCAACACAGACAACACAGTGCATCCACACATGCACACACGTGCACACAGAAACACACAAGGCGTACATACGCAGACACACAACACACACAGACACAACACACACATCAACACAGACAACACACGTGCATCCACACATGCACACACGTGCACACAGAAACACACAAGGCGTACATGTGCACAAATGCACACACAGACATACGTGTACACAGAGGCACAACAAAGAGGCACATACAGGCACACATGTACACACAGGCACACAGCACACACACAAGTGTACACAGGGGCACAACACACAGAGGCACATACAGGCACACACACAGAGACGTGCCGATGCAATGGAGGTGAGGACATTGGAAACATTACCTGGTTTATCCAGCTAGCAGAGTATTTCTTACCTGGGGGGGAACGAGATGTCCAGTTCACACAGCCTGTCCTTAAAGACAGATAACTCTTTGTCAAATTCCAGGAGCTAAAGAAAGGAAGAAGAAAACACAGTCACTTCATGTTTCCTCACCAGCGCACGGAGATCTGTATGCAGCTGGGCCACTCATAACTTCCTGGAAACATGCACAGCTCAAGCATTCGGTGTGACATCTGCCCTACCCAGACCACCACATCACCAGAAAGACCGGTGGGTGCCCACCAGGCTCCAGTGTCCAGCTGTGGTGCTTCTGGCAGTGGAACCTGCATTGACAAGCTCTGCTCACCTGGAGACACATGCAGGGGGCCCCTTCTCTGGTGATGACCTGATACGCACCCACACCCTCGGGCCGCACTGCTGTGGACACGGCAGACTGTGGACACAGGACACCGTTGCCTCAGCAGTCCTCTCGGAGCCTCTCCTCTCTAGCGAGGGGGCGTGCCTTCTCAGCAGAAGGGACACAGCTCCTGCTGTGCCCACAGCCTAAAGTTACTCACAGAGCAAGTAATGTTGACTTTGCATGAGTAGGTCAAAGAAGTGGCCCAAGTGTGCACACAGGTGAGACTCTGGCAGCAGTGTGGGCAGGAAAGAGGCAGCAACAGCCTCAGCCCTGAGGACTCTCCGGAGACAAGCCCCGAGAGGGCATCGTGCCCCAGCCCACAGGCCGCAACTCTGAGTGGCCACCATGTGCACCCTGCGGGATATGCCTTCGCTAATCATGTTCCATCCCACAGCGGCGCCGGAGCATGGCACTGCACAGGGGCTCCCCTCAAAAGCACACCATGTCCTCACTCTGTCCTGCCAGCTCATCCATCATTCCTGAAACGTGCAATTAGCAGCCTCGTGTACGCAGTAATTACCCATGTATCAGGCTGCTACCTGCACCTCCTGTACCAGGCCCCCTGACTGTTCCTCACCAGGCCAGAACTTGGTGTGATCAGGGCCAGATCGGGGTCAGGTCACAGGGAAACAGCCAAAATCTCCACCAGAAATAGTCATGTTTATGATGTTGGCAAGTGACTGCACAACAGGACGGTAGGGACAAACCAAAGCTACCTTCTGCACACATGGGGCAACTTCAAACCCAGCTGCCTTGCTCCAGTCTGACACCCAGGACGCCCTGGACACTCACACTTGAGTCACAGCAAGCCTCAGACTCTAGCTGGTGAGGCTCAGACACAGAGGGTGGGGCCTGGAGCCCATGGGGGGGAAGACCCCAAAGGCAAACCTCACCCCCCTCCGTGCTGCCCCTCATGGCCACCAGGCTGGGGGGACCCCACAGGGGAGGCACAGGCAGCTCGATTTTCATGACACCCAATGGCCCTGCTGCCTCCACACCAAGATGAGGCTCAAGGTCCACAGCAAGGGAGAGACTCACTCCAGGGCCAGCCTCTTCAGGAACAGGCCCCAAGTCAGCCCCTCAATGTGGCAGGATGGAGCAGAAGCCTCGGAAGAGACATCCCACCTTCAAGGGCAAAGCACGTATGTGGCTCTGGACCAATCCTGCACTTACACGTGTGTCAGCATGTATGAATCTACTTGTGCATGTGCACTGTGAGTGTATATGTGTCTGCTGTGCATGAGTGCACGTGTCTGTACGAGTGCACTTGCGTGTATGCACTATGAGCGTACCCGAGTGTCTGCATGTACGAGTGCACTTGCGTGTATGCACTATGAGCGTACCCGAGTGTCTGCATATACGAGTGCACTTTAGCATGCACTATGAGCGTACCCGAGTGTCTGCATGTACGAGTGCACTTTAGCGTGCACTATGAGCATACCCGAGTGTCTGCATGTACGAGTGCACTTTAGCGTGCACTATGAGCGTACCCGAGTGCATGTACGAGTGCACTTTAGCGTGCACTATGAGCGTACCCGTGTGTCTACATGTACGAGTGCACTTTAGCGTGCACTATGAGCGTACCCGAGTGTCTGCATGTACGAGTGCACTTTAGCGTGCACTATGAGCGTACCCGTGTGTCTGTATGTATGCATATACGTATAGATACACTTACATTTACACATGGAGGCCTATTAAACGTGTCACATCTGGATCATCTGGAGCTTGAATTCATGGCCTTCCCACATCAGTGACAGAATAGTCCTGATCCCAGCGTGAGTCCCACTGGTGTCTTGGTGGAGAGATGAGGAAGGGAAGGTCTATGGGGTACCAGGCGGGGGCAGGGCCCTTGTGCTGATGTGGGTGGGCTGTGCACTAGTGGGGTACTTCAGTGGGTACTGACGTGGTTTTGGCCGCTGCGATAGATGAGAGGTGCTCACAGCGTGCTTGGCCTGTAGCTGCTGGCCTGCGTGAGATCGGGAACCAGACTTTACAAGTATCTAAGGGGAACTGCTGAGTCAGAAGGCCACAGCCGATGGGTACATTTGACAAAAAGGACCAACAGCAGCTTCCCTGACTCTCATGACACAAAGTCAAGATGGCCAGAGTGCCAGCCTTCACCATCCCCAGTGCTGTCAAATCTTCTCTTCCTGCCACATCATTCACTGAGACCTTTGAAGAAGGGAAGCCCCGTGGATACAGTGAGTCTGTGCGAGACCTCCCTGCCCCCGTCCCCAGAGGCCCGAGACCTCCCCACCCCCGCCCCCAGAGGACTGAGACCTCCCCACCTCCACCCCCAGAGGCGCAAGACCTCCCCACCCCCGCCCCCCCCAGAGGTGCCTGCACCTTGGACAGATGTTTTATGAATCCCACGGGTGTCTCTGCACTGCTGCTGAACATGCACATGTCTGCAAAGAACAGCCCACTCCACCCGTGTGTTTTTAAGCCGCACGCAGGCGTTCTCACTCCTGCTTGTCCCTGCCCTGCTCCTGAAGCGCAGTTGACCCTGGTCTCTGAGGATCAGCCCGGCGGGGCTGTGGCTCTCGATTCCAGGGCGTGTTTATTCTGGCCAGTGTTCTTCAAGGATGAGTTGGCTGCTTATGAAATTCTGTTAGCAGTGTTTTCCCTTAGCTCTTTGATCAAATCATGCTGTTACCTCCTGGTTCTAGAAGCCCACTGCCAGTTTCATCCTTGTAGGGCAACTATCCTACATTTTTCTCAGATTGATTTTAAAGGCTGGCTGGTTAGCTCACTTGGGAGAGCGTGGTGCTGGTAACACCAAGGTCAAGGGTTTGGATCCCTGTACTGGCCAGCCACCAAAGCACAAAAAACCCTTGTCTGTGTGTCTGATGTTCTGCTATTTCACTCCGACATGTCTGTACATGAATTTATTTTCATCCCTCTATGCTTCCTGAGGATCTGTCTGGGATAGTTCTAGGATAATTCAGTCACTAACTCCTCAGGTGTGCTCTTTGTGTCTGGACTCTGTCCTGCCTCTTGCCTGACTCTCCTGTTCACTTTCTGCCATGCCCTGTGTGTTTCCATCCTACACCCTGTGCTTCCCCAGGCCTGCTGTCCAGTTCATAAACCTGCCTTCAGCTGTGTCTACTCTGACACTTAGTTCATCCACTGAGATTTTAACTTCAATGACTGCACTTCTAGAAGTTCTATGTATTTTTTAATCTGCTCATTCTTTCTTTCATAGCGTGGTACTTATGTTTCTAATTCTTCCCGTTTTAAATAATTTCAGGAATCTGCTTATTCTTTCTTTCATAGCGTGGTACTTATGTTTCTAATTCTTCCCGTTTTAAATAATTTCAGGTATTTTTATTTTATAATTTTTATCAATTATCCAATTATTGGCATTCTGGAGGGCCTTTCCTGCCTTTTGTTATAGCTCCAGACTCTTGCTATGGCAGAATCCTTCGGGCATTTTGCACTTTGGGACTATAAGCTTGTCCTGGAGGGTCTTGATTTGAGGAGAGTTTTATAGCTGTGATATTGAATGTGCAGCCTGCCCTCCAAGAGGACAGGAAACAGCAGAAAAGGGGCTCTGAAAACAGACACATCATAACTTCCCCTCACAAGTAACGAGGTATTGGGACGATACCTAATTCTCTTCTTTATACTTTGGAAGAAACTCCAGGAACCGTGGATGCCATCCTGGCCTCACCTGCAGAGAAGGGTGCAAGCAGAAGCCCTGGCCACAGCCTGACCTAAATGAGTTACTGCCACCTGCCAGTGTGGGCTGGCCCCTTAGCTCCCCCTCAAACTCTCTGCAAGAAGACACTGAATGAAGAGCCGTCTGGGAATGACAGGCCTGGTTGTGCAATAGGAAACAGCCAGCTGCCTCCTGCCTTGACCTGGGCAGTGGGTGCAGGAGAGAAGTGCTCGGGCCTCAGAGGGCAGCCATGGGCTGTGCACACGCTCACCGCAGCTGCCCCATGCCAGAGGTGGTATACAGACGAAAGGGGACTGCTTGGAAATGCTCAAAGAAACCAAGCCTCCTCCTACGTGAGCTGTGGCATCTGTGACGCCATCTGCAGCAACTCCAGAGCATTTACGTCTGGGGGACAGCACCAAAGTGGGGGGCAGAGATGGCCTCCTCGAGCAAAGGCTTCTGCCCACAACTGGGCTCATGGCTTCTCATGGAGCATCTGGAGAACTCTGGAGCCAGGAGGGCCCATTCCACAGAGGGGGTGCAGTGTGATGTCCAATCCAGCTCTGGCCCCAGCACGCTGACCCACGGTACTACCCAGTGCCCACCTGGCTGCCAAAAGACTGACAGAGCACACACAGGGTACATCCGGGCTGCACCTCCCAGCTTGGGCCTTAGTGGGCCCTGGGCCCTTTCTGTCTTCCACCTTTGCTCTGCTGGAAAGAACCTTCTAGAAGCAACATGCTGCAAAGCCTGGATGATCAGACAGGGAATGTGCAGAGAGCAGTTTGTCACCAGCATTAGCTTATTTAGCCTCAGAGAACAAAGGGCTGGTTTTCCTGCGAGCTGCAGCTGTGGCTCAGGGACGGGCGTCTCTGCCTCTGGCTGCTGGTCTTCAGGGTGGGGTTTGTGAGCATGGCACAGAGCAGTCGAGGCACAAGGCTGAAGTACAAAGCGAGGCCTGTGGCCAGGTGCATAAGCAGGCACATAGTGGATGTGGGACTGCATGTCCAGGGGTTCATGAGGAAGGGCTTTAAGCAGGGCCAGGGT